AGTCTGCCATCCAATCGTTCGACAAAAATTTGCGAAACTTACACTTCAAGAACCTGGCCATGCCCTGTGCCGGGTTCCAGAGACACAGCTACTCACTCCAGGGCTTATTGCTGGGGGAGACAGATCAGAAGACAGGCAGTACCCAAACTCTGTGAAAGATGTCATGTCAGGGAGCAGTGTGGTCCTGTGAGGCATCTAACCAAATCAGGGGCATTGCCAGGCAGGGGCAGGGAAGGCTTCCTGGAGCAGGTGACCTCCAAGGGGGGCTCTGAAGACTGAGAAGGAGCCAGGCCACCAGTAGGGGTAGATGAGGGTGCCTAGAGCAGAAGGAGAATATACAAAGGTCTGCAGGCCAGGGGCAGGACAAGGGCACCTCTGGGGACATTGCATGTAATTGACCACAATTGGAGTTTGGATTTGGAGATGGGGTGGAAGAGATGGGAGATAGTGAGCCAAGTAGTAAGCATGGCGGCTTTCCCAGGTGTGCTCCTTTCGAATGAGTATGCTCTTATCCCATGTAACTTAGAGAAGTTTGGACCTTTCCCACTGTGGCAGAGGTTTCCTGGGGCTCTTGCATACATGGCCCTATGGTTGCCCATCACATCTTTCTCCCAAAAGCTGGTCAGCATGGTGGTGGCATAAACCCATTTTCCAGAGCCAGGGATTCAGTTGCAGCTGTGGTAAGACATGGCCCGGTCTGGGAGATCAACCATGAAGAAGGCAGTAGCTGTCATTGCCCAACCCCAGAAATCCCAATCCTGTTTTCTCCCTCTCAGTCCTGATAATGGATTCAGGATTCAGCGGCAGTGAACTTGTCAATCTAGTGGGTGGCAGAGCCGGGATCTTGACTAGGGCTCTGCAGCAGCACAGCCTAGACAAAGCTCTGAAGTGGGAGAGACCCCCACTGGTCCCTGGGTCTGGCTACAGAATCAGAAATGGGGAGCTGGGGGAAGGGATGGGCCTGGGTCACCTCTGATCTCTTACACGCCATCCGGATGGCCCTGGCCTCTCACTAAGACCTGCCACTCCTCTTTGGCATGGCCTCTTCCCAAACCCCCACATTGCCTCTTCACCCACAAAAGTGGTCTCTAAGTGTCACTTGGTCCATGGAACCTCCACCCCTTATGGCTTCAGTGCCCCAAATAGGGCTGGACCCCTGATCCTGATCCACCTGTAGCTATCCAGCTCCTTCCTGGGGACTTTAGAATTGAGGGGGGCATGCCTGGTTGTGCTGGGAATCCACACTCTCCCTGGCTGGACCTAGAACCTGTGGACTCTCATCCTGAGGGCAGTCATGTTCTGCCTGCACCTGGTAACAAGAAACTTGACTGCGGAGAGAAGAAAGAGGAGAGAGGAACAGAGCCAGGAAACTGCCTGTTTCCGGGGCTTTTTCTGTTCCCCATCCTTGGCTTTCTAAGGCCACAGGGAGGTCCCTTCCCCTGCTTTCCTGTTCCTGAGTCTGTTCTGTGAAATACTCCAATTCTTACTTTTTATCTCAAACCAGCTCAAGGCGGTCTCTTTTCCTTTCAACCAAAGAAGGGTGCTCCTAGTGGCTAAAGGTACATATTTCTGCAGCTAGATTTCCAAGCCCGAATCCTGCCCTCCACAACATGTGGACAATACCCGTGTTGCATACAGAGCATGGCTGTGAATTGAGTTAGTGCAGGCAAAATGCTGTCCACAGTGTCTGGTACATGCTAAGTACTCTGCAACGGGAGACCACCTCCTTCTTGGTCTTCTGGGCACTTCTGTGAGTGAAAGGAGGCACTAATAACAATCATACTGGGATGCCCGCATATACTGGAATGCCCCAGGTGAACCAGGCCTTATCTGTGTTACTCCATCTATAACTTAAACTAACAAAAACCCCACACAAGTCACATTTTGTTCTTCAGGCTACCCAGGAAGGCATATTAGGCAGGGACTGCCACTTTCTCTCTAAGAAAAACATCATGCCAGTAAACTGGCCCACGGTGGGCAGAGGGAGAGGGCCCAGGAGGGGGCGGACACCCATGCCTGCGCAGTTGATGAGGAGCCAGAAGGCTGATTCTGGCTGCAGAAAAAAGGTCAGGGTTGCATTTTCCTTCTTTGCTTCTTGATGGATGATCAATATTTTGAAATATGACATCCCAAGGCCAATGAGACTGGTGCCACTCCAGAAAAGGGCCACTCTGTGGGCGGGATGGTGGGAAGGGACCTGAAGGTGGGGTCAAGGGAGGCCCCAAAACAGTCTACACAGCAGGAGGGATGGCCAGGGCTCAAGAGCTATAAGTGGCGTCTCAGGGCCCTAACGGGCGTCTCACCATGCTGTTCCTGGGGCTGCTGCTGCTGCCGCTGCTGGCAGGTGCCCGCCTGCTGTGGAACTGGTGGCAGCGCAGGAGCCTCCACCTCCCGCCTCTTGCCCCGGGCTTTCTGCACCTGCTGCAGCCCAACCTCCCCATCTATCTGCTTGGCCTGACTCAGAAATTCGGGCCCGTCTATAGGCTCCACCTTGGGCTGCAAGGTGAGAACCTATTCTTGCCCTGGCCCTCACCACAGGAGGATGGCAGAGGAGGGGAGGGGGTCCTCTCTCTCCACTGACCCTGCTTTGGCTCTCCCCCAGATGTGGTGGTGCTGAACTCCAAGAGGACCATTGAGGAAGCCATGGTCAAAAAGTGGGCAGACTTTGCTGGCAGACCTGAGCCACTTACCTGTAAGGGCTGGGGGCATTTCTTCTTTCTTTCTTACAAAAAAATTTTTTTAAGAGATGGGGTCTTGCTATGTTGCCCAGGCTGGTCTTGAATTCCTGGTCCCAGGTGATCCTCCCACCTAAGCCTCAAGTGGGAGCCACCTGCACCTGGTGGGGGCATTTCTTGGGGGGAAGAAGCAGGGGTTGGGGAGGCAGAAGATCGGGCCCTTGGCTGACCTTGGTCAGTTCCCACCCTCCAGCCCCCTGCTCCTCCTGCAGACAAGCTGGTATCTAAGAACTACCCAGATCTGTCCCTGGGAGACTACTCTCTGCTCTGGAAAGCCCACAAGAAGCTCACCCGCTCAGCCCTGCTGCTGGGCCTCCGTGACTCCATGGAGCCCGTGGTGGAGCAGCTGACCCAGGACTTCTGTGAGGTAAGGCTGGTCTCCTGAGACCCCTCGGGTCAGCCTCGCCTCTTGCAGTAGTCCCTGCCCTGCCCGCTGTACACCGGCCTGCTGAGCTCACCCTCCTTCTCCACAGCGCATGAGAGCCCAGGCCGGCACCCCTGTGGCCATTGAGGAGGAATTCTCTCTCCTCACCTGCAGCATCATCTGTTACCTCACCTTTGGAGACAAGATCAAGGTGCCTCGAAGCCCCTCCGGCCCACCCCCAGCCCCTCCCTGGGCCTCTCCTAGTCCTGAACTGAAAGCTCGTCCTCCTTTTCTGGCAGGAGGACAACTTGATGCCTGCCTGTTACAAATGTATCCAGGAGGTGTTAAAAACCTGGAGCCACTGGTCCATCCAAATTGTGGACGTGATTCCCTTTCTGAGGGTGAGGAGGTGGAGCCTAGACACCCTGGGTCCTGGGGAGAGGTGGGTGGAGGGAGAGGCTTCTTCCCGCAGCTGCACTCTGATGCTTCCTGTCGCAGTTCTTCCCCAATCCAGGCCTCCGGAGGCTGAAGAAGGCCATAGAGAAGAGGGACCATTTCGTGGAGAAGCAGCTGAGGCAGCACAAGGTGGGGGCTGTGTGGACGGGCTCCCCTCGGCCCACAGCCAGGGACGCTACTGGCCATAGCATAATTACAAGGCGGGTTCACCTGCATCCCCCAGTTCTGGGCCTGCTGTCACTCCATGCCCCTCTCCCCAGGCTAGGCGCTCAGCCTGCTCCTCCCACCCTCTGCAGGAGAGCCTGGTGGCAGGCCAGTGGAGGGGCATGATGGACTACATGCTCCAAGGAGTGGCACAGCCGAGTGGTGTGGAAGAGGACTCTGGACAGCTCCTGGAAGGGCACGTGCACATGGCTGCGGTGGACCTCCTCATTGGTGGCACTGAGACCACGGCAGTCACCCTCTCCTGGGCCGTGGTGTTTTTGCTTCACCACCCTGAGGTGCGCCCTGGGGACAGGCATAAGGCTCCTTCCCAGCAGCCCAGTCAGGGTGGTGGGCACCCTCGCTCGACTCTGAGCACTGTGCTTGCCCAGAGGGGCTGCTGTCTCCTCACCAGCACTCAGGCTCACTGGGTGGCTGAGGGAGTGGCTGGATGCTGGGCAGCTGTGGGCTGGCTGGGGCAGGACTCCACCCGATCATTCCCCAGATTCAGCAGCGACTGCAGGAGGAGCTAGACCACGAACTGGGTCCCAGTGCCTCCAGCTCCCAGGTGCCCTACAAGGACCGCGCACGGCTGCCCTTGCTCAATGCCACCATCGCCGAGGTGCTGCGCCTGCGGCCGGTTGTGCCTTTGGCCCTGCCCCACCGCACCACACGGCCCAGCAGGTGACTCCCAAGGGTTGGGATGAGTGAGGGAAGCCTGAGCCCAGCGAGGTCCTGGCCAGCCTCTAACTGCAGCCCCCTTCAGCATCTCTGGCTACGACATCCCCGAGGGCACAGTCATCATCCCCAACCTCCAAGGCGCCCACCTCGATGAGACGGTCTGGGAGAGGCCGCATGAGTTCTGGCCTGGTATGTGGGGGGCCAGGGGCCTGCCGTGCAAAGGTGGCGGAGGCTGGTCCCCAAAGCCGCCGAGCACCTCCCCACCCACCTGTCCACCCGCCCGCAGATCGCTTCCTGGAGCCAGGCAAGAACTCCAGAGCGCTGGCCTTCGGCTGCGGGGCGCGTGTATGCCTGGGTGAGCCACTGGCGCGCCTGGAGCTGTTCGTGGTGCTGGCCCGACTGCTGCAGGCCTTCACGCTGCTGCCCCCCGGGGATGCCCTGCCCTCCCTGCAGCCCCTGCCCTACTGCAGCGTCATCCTCAAGATGCAGCCTTTCCAAGTGCGGCTGCAGCCCCGGGGGATGGGGGCCCACAGCCAGTGAAGGGGCAGGACCGATTCCAGTCAGGTGCCTCAGTTTCTCCTTTATTGCTCCCCTATGAGCCCCTCCCCTCCCCCCTGTAAACATAGTGCTGTGAGGTCGCTGGCAGAGAAGGAGAAGGCTTCCTCCAGTGGCCAGGTGGTGAAGGCCCCTGGCTCTTCTCTTGGGGCAACCCCTCAGTGCTCGGCAGTCATACTAGGGTGCGAGAGAGGTGGGCAGCAACTCAGCCTCCGCCCGCTGGGGACCGAAAGTTTCTTGGTCTCAGCTTCATTTCCGTGAAGGGCACCGAGAACTCAAAGCCCTTCCAGTAGTACCAGCTCACTCCCTGGGGTGTCAAGAGAGTGTCAAAGCCAGATGTCCCATCTGCTTCTCCCGTTCAGCCAACCGCCCCACACAGCTCCCCTCCTGACCCTCTAGCTTCATCCTGAGCAGGCCCTTTCCAGCCAATAAATCAGCTCCAGCTCCCTCTGTGTGGCTGGCACGATTATTCCCTTTTACCCAGTGCTCAGTCCCTTGCCTGTTACACTGCGGGGCTAAAATCTAGGCAGGCTGAGCCCCAGCCACCCCCAGCTCTGTGCTGCCTCCCGCGCCTCACCTGATGGTCCACCGTGCTCCCGTAGAGCCCGTTGAGGTTGGCATAGTGGCAGTTCCTGTACCACCAGGCCCCTCGGTAGGAGACAGCGCAGGAGATGAGCAAGTTGTTGGGATCCCGATCACGGGCAGAGAAGACACTGCCGCTGTGGTAGCTCATGGAGTCCCCTGGGCAGGGTGGAGGAAGGAGCCATGAGGGCCTCCCCTCCCAGCCTCACCCTCACAACCGCGTGGCCTGTGCCTACCTGCGGTGCCATGGTAGCCCTCCAGGTGGAGGCGGTAGTACTCCGCAGCTGAGTCTACGCGGAAGGAGTCGTACTGGGCGAACACAGCCTCGTCCCCAGCCCGCAGGTCCACACGCATGGAGTAGTCACCGGCCTGTGTCAGGCTGTGCAAGGCCTCATTGCCTGGGGGTGGGAGACATGCTCTCATCAGGGTCCTGGTGTCCACAGGGCCCCCATCCCCTCCATAGTTTCCCAATCCCTGTGAGGCACTGACCCAGCCAGAATTCTCCAGAGATGTTCCCAAAACCATGGGCATAGTCCTCCCAGTCCCTCCAGAAGTCTGTCTGTCCATCCATGCGGCGCTGGAACACCTGGAAAGCAGGTGGGGGCACCATCAGCCTCTGGCTCCCGGGGCAACAGCTCCTGCCCTGCACAGACCCCTGGGCTCTCCAATGCCACCCACCAGCCAGCCGCCCCCATCGGTCTCCATGTCGCAAAACACGTTCAGGGGCCGCTCGCGGTTGCCGTTGAGGAAGATGGTGGTGGTCCTGGAGGCAGCGGCTCCGTTCTGCATCTCCTCCCCGCAGTCCCTGGGGAAGGGGATCCGCAGCCCACCTGGGGAGAGGAGAGCAGGGGCCAGTCCTTTTCCAAGCCTTAGGCCCTGGCTGCCCACCCAGCCCCCGGCTGCCAGCGCCCCTGCGTCCAGGTACCCGTGGTGAAAGAGGTGGACACTGGCGGCAGGAGGCTTTCGCCCCACATGGCCTGGAGCCGAGCACTGTAGGGGGTGGAGGGAAAGAGGCCGAGCAGCTGGTGAGACGTGACCCCTGCCGGAAGCAGGATCTCCTGTGGGACAGATGAGGGGGAGGGTCAAGGGAGAGGGAGGTGGAGACCCTCTGGGTGGGCCACAGGCAGCACCTCCTGGAATCACCCAAGGAGGGGAGTTGGTCAGTGGGGCACCTGGGTCTGTCCACCAGGGGTGTCGAAGCTCAGCAGGTAGCCTGTGGGCCGGACTTGGGGCTCAGTCCAAGTGAGCAGGGCTGTGCGGGGGGTCACTTCCTTGGCCTCCAAGTCCCGAGGGGCCTCTAGCCCTAGGAGGGAAAGTGGGAAGAGGAGATGGGGATGAGGCCCATCCTGGCTTCCTCTACCTCCCCTCTCCCATCCCACTCACCCCACAGACCCTACCTGTGGTGAAGGTGATGCTGGCTGGGGAAGTGAGGTTGGGGCCCCGCAGACCACGCACAGTGGCGGTGTAGTTGGTGTGGAGGACGAGGTCATGCAGGGGGTAGTCCACCGCACTGCCTGGGGCCGCGGCCTGCAGAGGCGGGGCTGGGAGTGCAGGTTGGGGGGCATCAACGCCTGCCCCCTCCATCCCCAGCCAGAGTCCAGCCTCCCGGCTGCAATCCCCATCCTGCACATGTCCCTTCCAGAGGCCTCAGCCCTACTCACCCCCAGGGGCTGTGACCTGGACGTCATAGGTGTCCACAGGATTCTGGGGGGGCTTCCAGTGCAGCATGGCGAATCCCTCAGTCAAGTTCAGTGCACGCAACTGGGTGGGGCCATCAGGAACTGGGGGAAGGGGAGGGGCTCAGAGGCATCTCCGCTGCGCTCTCTACTCCAAGCCTCCCCAAACTCCACTGGGCTCCTGCCCGAAATCAGAGCCTCCACCACCTCCCTTCACCCTCCCCGTTCCCTCCCAACTGCCACCCATGCCATTTTCATGGCTCCCACCTCTTGCCCTGGGTCCCAGTCCATTTCACCTGTGGTGAGGAAGCCTGTGAGAGGCTCACTCTCCTCAAAGCCTCGGACGGAGACCACGGTCACCTCGTAGCGAGCGCCTGGGATCAGCCCCTGAAGTTTCTGGGTCCGGACCCGGCCATCCACCTGCACACTTTGTGGCTCCCCTGAAAACATTGGGGACCAGGGGTTACTCAGGGAACCCCAGAGTGGCTGGAAGGTGGGCAGAGTACAGCAGGGAGGCTGACACGTGAGGCAATGAGCACATGGCAAAGGCACCACCTCCATCCGCCAGCTGGTAGGAGACTTTGAAGCTGTCCACCCGGGATGGCGGGGGCATCCAGTTGACCCTGGCTGAGGTCTCCCCGATTTCGATGAATTGGAGGTCACGAGGGCTCTCCAGCACTGCAGAGGGGGCAGGGAACAAAGGTGCAGGCAGGGGCAGGGAGGCTCCTCCCTACAATTCCCACCCCTCACCCCTGCTCCGGGACAGGCCACCACCCCTTTCCTCTGGACCCCAGGAATGGAAGTCACTCTGTAGATCCCTCCAAGCCCACCACCAACTCGCCCACCCCTGCCGCTGGGTGAGGCACTAGGTGCCTCCACCTCCTCGAAGTACAAAGACCCTCACTTTGGGCGGTGTTTGTGGGGCCTTACCTGGGCTGAGGGTGCGGGCGGTGCCCTGGATGCTGTCGGCCTTGTGGGGCCCTCGCAGCCCATACAGCGTTAGGCTGTACAGAGTCCCCGGACGCAGGTCCCGGAGCACGGCCGAGTGCCGTGTCCCCGGCACCATCAGCTCGCGCTGCAGCAGAGGACGCGGGTGGGGCTCCAGGGTGCTTGGGGATGGGACCCCGAAGCGGAGCAGGAAGGAGTCGAAGGCCCCAGGTGGGGCCTCCCAGTTGAGCCTCAGTGAACTGGTGGTCACATCGGTCACAGACAGCTGGGACAGGCGGGGCCCTGGCTCTCCTGAGGCCTGACCAGCAGGGGCCGGCCCTGCATGGAATGGGTGAGAGAGAAGGGATTAGAGACAGAAGCACACCAGCTTGGTGACCCGGGGCATGTTCCTTCAACCCCGTTTCTCCATCTGTACCCAGGGACTTGCAGCCACAGGGGGGTCCTGTGGGGCAGAGCTAAAGGCCACTCGCATCCAGCCTACCTGTCCTCTCTCCCTGGCACCTGCCTCACGCTCTTTCCCTGCGACCACCGCTTCTGGGCCCCCCTTTCCCCCTTCCCAGTCACAGACTGGAGGCCGGGGATGCCTGGTGGTACCTGTGGTGCCCTCGGCTGAGACGGGCCCCAGACGCTTCCCTTCCCGGAGGCCGTAGAGGAAGAACCTGTAGGAGGTGCTGGGCTCCAGGCCTGAGATGAGGACCTTGCTCTGGTCGCCATCCACCAGCAAGGCCTGGGGCTGCCCTTTTGCGTCCTCATACTGGACCACGAAGGAATCAAAGGGGCCCTGGGCCACGCTCCATGAGAGGCGCAGGGAGTCTGGGGTTGTGTCGGTCACAGCCAGCACTCCTAGGCGGGGCTCTTCAGGAGGTTCAGGGGCCTCTGGGGCTAACTCTGGTGCTGGTGTGTCCTCTTCTGGGGCTGCATGGGAGAAGCCCAGGGGAGAATCTGAGTGAGGGATGCCACGGGGCCCTCCATTTTTATCTTTCTCCCCAAAGAGGGGATTCCAGGCTTGCCCAAGGCTGAGGTGGGAAGCTTACAGGTCCTGGCCGTGGCAGCCTGGTGGAGAGAAGGGAGGAGCCAGGCTCTGCCAGCACTTCCGTCCCTGACTCTGCCAATATCCCTGCTTTGGTGCTGACTCCTGCTCAGATCCCCCGGGGCTTCTGAGCCCCAGCACTGTGGCCTGCGCCCTGCTTGGGAAGTCACTGTGGCCTCGTGAGTCCTTCAAGAGCCCCTCGCGGTCTGATTCAGGTGCTCAGTTCCCCTTCCACACCCAGGGTCCTATCGTGCCCACCTTGAGATAGCACAGGCTCTGCCCCCACCGGCTGAGCTTGGGGGGTGTGGTGCTCCTGCTCCCTTCTGAGAGAAGCTGAGGGTGGGACTGGCCGCTGAAGGTGACGGGCAAATCCCACCAGCCGTGCCCTGGTCAGGCCTGACTGAGGTGGGCAGCAGTGAGCTCCGGCAGAGGAGCCTGCACCATAAATGCAGCCACTTCGTTTGGTTTCTGTGACCCCGCTCATTTTGTTTCCCAGTGATTTTCCTCTTAAAAAAAATGCTCCTGGCTCATCTAAGGCAGGGAGATTTGCCCCTATCTGGACAAGGCCACCCTTTGGGGAGGTGACAGATGCCCCAGTGAGTAATGGGGAGCAGCAGCAGTGATGGGGCAGAGAGGGGGGCTGGGAGACTGGGGGGCCCCTGCCAGGGACTTTCCCTCCCACCTGGCCTGGCTCCTGCTCTTGACTCCTTGACAGATGTCGAAGCCCACAGGGCTGCAGACTCCTCCTTCCTGGGCACAGGCCAGGGCGCCCCACTGCCGCCTGCCCACTCCTGTGGTCATCTTCGTCTTCAGCCCAAAGGCACAAGGAAACCCAGGCAGGCAGCCTCACCTGTCATTCCCAGGGCGGAGACTGGGCCCAGGCGCTTTCCCCCGAGGAGCCCGTACAGCAGAAACTTGTATTTCCTGCCAGGCTCCAGGTCCTCTATGGTGACCATGCGCTGGTCTTCGGCCACAGGCACTGCCTTGGGCTGCCCATCTTTGTCCCTGTACTGGACCACGAAGGAGTCAAAGGGGCCCTGGGCCACTGTCCAGGACAGGCGCAGGGAGCTGGAGGTCTCCTCGGCCACGGTCAGTTCTCCAAGGCGGGGAGGGGGCTGCAGCTCCTTCTCCAGGGGAGCTGTGCAGGGGGAGGAGGGAACGCTCTTAGGCACATGCTGCCTTTACCTCAGCCCTGGCAGCTTCCGGGAGGTGTGAGGTTCTGGGAAAGGGTCCCTCCAGTGCAGCCTCAGGGACAGCTCCTTGAGGCAACACACAGGCCTGCTCCTGCCACGCCCCTCAGGAATGAGGGAGAGCAGCCCCCTCCTCCTCTGGAGGCCTGCCCTAACTCCTTCCTGCCCCACTCCCTCCTGCTGTGATGAGGGTGCAGTAAATACACAAAGATCATCAACCGAGGGAGGGTGGTGGGGTGCAGGGAGGGCCTTTGTTTCCCGGACCCCCAGCCCCTGAGCTGGGATGAGGTCAGAGCTGAGGGGGACTCCCAGGAGGTCTCTGGGTTGTCAGGGAGACACCCCAAACATCAAGAGCTGGTCTGGGTAGCTGGCCAGTGCATGGCTCCCATCACTGCCGGCCTGTGATCCTGCCTTGTCCCCTTGTGGCCATCAGCCTGGCCATCTGTACCTCCTGCTTCCCACACTGACCCCACTGGGCCAGGGCAGCTGGGGTGGGGCGGGGAGAAGACAGGGGCAGAGCTGGGAAAACAGAGGGCAGAGCAGAGGCTTGTCCGGGTGCAGCTGGGGCCGTTGGGTGGGGGAAGGGAGAGCCTGTAGCCCATCCCCACAGTGAGTGTTTGGGAAGAGAATTATGGAGTCCCAGGGACCCAGGCCCCGACTGGCCAGCTGCTCTGTCCTCCTCTGGGCAGTGACTCATGGTCCTGGGAGTGGGGTGAGGGTCAGTGACCCACCACACCCCTTCCTTGGGGGGCTGAGTCACAGCCACAGTAACACCAGGTTTTTCCATAGTCTTTCTGTAGCCAAGCCCTCCCTTATTTTCCACCCCTGGCCTCTGAGTTAGGGAGGAGGGAGGGGGATGGGAACCGCTACTGAAAGCAGCGTCACTCCCAGCAATCATGCAGGTGAGGACACTGAGGTTCTGGGGATGAAGCGGCTTGGCCATGGTCACCCTGGCAAGGGCTGGGACTGGAACTGGAACACAGATCTGCTGGCCCCAAGCCTGTGTCCCTTTTATTTCCCCGGCGTCATCAAATGGAGGAAATAATGCATATTCCTAGGAACTGCGCCGGGCACCTATAGGGACCCACTTTCAGAGTTAAAATGGTTGTGTCAGGGCTGACAGAGGCAATCTCACGGGAAGGCCATAGGGCCAGCTCTGAGGGCTCAGATGAGAGGCTGCTCTGGAAAAGGTGGAGGCCGGACTGGGGCTCACCTGTGGTGCCCTCAGCAGAGACAGGGCCCAGTCGCTTCCTGCCTGCCAGACCGTAGAGCAGGAACTTGTATTTCCTGCTGGGCTCCAGGCCGGGGACAGTGACCTCCCGCTGGTCGGCTGCCACCGGCACCACCTGGGGCTGCCCATCCCTGTCCTTGTACTGGACCACAAAGGAGTCGAATTCGCCCTCAGGAACGGTCCACGAGAGTCCCAGGGAGTCAGGGGTCACATCTGTCACAGTCAGCTCCCCCAGGCGGGGAGAGGGTTTCGTGTCTGGTGCTGGAAAAGACAGTGAGGTGCATGGAGAGGGCGGGGGCGGGGATGGAGGCAGAGGGGCCTGGGAGCTTCCTGGGCTGCTGTGGCTCTGTGAGCCGGTCCCGGGAATGGGAAGGTGACTGGGCCAGGAGTAGGGATAAAAGAGGAGCCAGACAGGAAAGCAAGTGTCCCTTGGGATGCAGGGAAGGTAGGGAGAAGGATGGGTGTGAGGGGAAGGAAGGAGCTCAGGGCCTGGGTTTCCAGTAAATCAATGGGCGGTGAGGACTGGAGGGTGGGGCACAGAAACATGAAATTCCAACTGGCGCCACAAGGGGGCGAAGGCTCTGGCTGCGGGCGGCCTCCAGCCCTGCTCACTCACCGGTCCTGGCCTCCACAGGGACTGGGCCGTGGCGTTTCCCATTTTGGAGTCCAAAGAGCAGGAACTTGTACTTGCGGGCCGGGTCCAGCCCCGAGATGGTGACCGCTCGGAGGTCTCCACTCACAGGCACTGCCTGGGACTGCCCCTGCACGTCCCTGTACTGCACCAGGAAGGAGTCGAAAGGGCCCTGGACCACCGACCACGAGAGGTCCACCGAGTCCGAGGTCACGCCCGCCACCACCAGCTCCCCCAGGTGGGGCTCCACGGGCGGCAGTGTGGGCAGCGGCGCTGAAAATAGCAGAGCAGGCCCATGGGTCAGGATGCAGGACCCTGCCCAAGGCACGCAGTGCTCTCCTGGGAATGGAGGGGGCATTTTTTTTTTTTTTTTTTT